GAGGAATACTTTATCTCGGTCAGACACTATCGACTATGGGATCCCATGCAGTCTAACCACCTCCCTGATGAATGCTGCTGCCACTATCATTGTGGTGTAGGGGTGCCGTAAGGGGATGAAATATGCATACTTAATCAGCCTATCAACCACCACCATAATAATTGTGAACCCCTCTGATCATGGTAGACCATCTATGAAATTCATGGACACTTCATCCCATACCCTGTTTGGAAGTGATAATGGTTGTAGTAACTCATCTGGAGCCATAGCCATGTACTTGTTTCTCTGATACCTCGCCACCATTCCCTCATCTTTATGCATCCCCTTCCAATATAACTCAGCAGTCAGTCTCCTGTAAGTCTTCCCTACCCCAGAATGGCCTCCAACTACACTCCCATGAACTCCTGTAATAGGTGGGGAATAAGGATGGAGATTTGTGGTATCACAAACCTCCCAGGATGTAATTAAGAGTTTCCCTCTCAAGTGAGTACCCAGGATGGCTATTCGTGCCTTCATCAAATCCTCTCTAATCTTCATTAACTTTGCATTATGTATACTCTCTTCTTTGATAGCCCCCCAGTCTACCATAAGTGGTACTAAAATTGCCATCCCTGAAGCTCCCCAACACATCTTGATAAAGCATCAACCGCCTTATTTTCCAAACTTGCCCTATACGGGATCTCAAAATCATTGCTTAGTAGTTTGGACAACCACCTCTGATGCTCCTCAATCACCATCCTTTGCTCTAGTAAGTATTTTAAGCTCCTCTGATCTATCTTGACAATGAAATGCTTACCTAGCAAGTAAGTGCGCCACTTCTGAATGTCCAGCACAATCGCCATCAATTTCCTCTCATATACCGACTTTAACCTACCTCTAGCTAATAGCACTTGACTGTAGTATGCTATAGACATTTTCTGCATGATACGGTCTCCAACCCATATCTAGACAGTATCGGTCTCCATTACAAAAATCTAGCTGAAATTTGGGAGAGCTAAAACTAGGACTATAGTCATGGCTTTCTTCAGTCTCTCAAATGTCTGGGTCGCTGCCTCTCCCCACAAGAAGATATCTTTCTTCAGTTGCTCAGTTAAGGGAAAGGCTATGGTACTGTACCCCCTCACAAATCTTTGGTAGTAACCAGTTAGTCCTAGGAAACCTCTCAGCTCCCTCAAGTACTTAGGCAGAGGCGATTTCTGCACTACCTCAATTTTTATTTGATCAGCCGCCACTCATTGGGATATCACATGCCCCAAGTACTCCACATGAGCCTATGGTAAGCTGCGCTTATTTAGGTTGGCTATCATCTGATGTTCCTGTAGAACTTCTAAAACCACCCTCAAGTGTTCCAGATGCTCCTTCGTTTTGTTGTATACCATAACAAAGAAAACCAGAACAAATTTTCGGAGGTACGGTCGGAACACCCTATTCATTAAGGACTAGAAAGTAGCAGGGGCATCACTAGAAACTCGTAGTGCCCCTCGTGTATCCTAAAAGTCGTCTTCGGAACATCTGCCTCCTTCATTCTAATTTGATGATATCCTAACTTCAAAACCAGCTTGGAAAACACCTCTGCTCCATACAGCTCATCCAAGAGCTCATTAATCATAGGAATAGGGAACTTATCCGGCACTGTCTCCTTGTTTAAGGATCTGTAGTCTACACAAAACCTCCAACGCCCATCCTTCTTTTTGACTAGTAAAATAGGATTAGAGAAATAACTCACACTAGGCTTGAAGATCCTCGCCTCCAACTTCTCATGGATTAGCTTCTCAGTTTTATCTTTTTGAATATGAGGATAGCGGTATGGATGAACAATGATTGATGACACGCCTTCCTTCAAAGTAATGGCATGCTCTAGCTCTCTCTGGGGAGGTAGGCCCCGGGGAGGCTAAAAAACCTCCCGAACTGCTTTATGAGTGGCTGTACTGTAAGAATGTCTCCCTCATCCTCTAGTCTGACCCCTTCAAAGCGATGCAACTCCTTCAAAAATCTTCCTCCCACCTCTTGTATGGTCCTGATTAGTGATTTGAGAGATACTCTAGCCTTGGATAGCCCGACGTCTCCCTGTATCACAATCCTCCCTCTACCACTAGTTCCATCCTCAGTGCTCCCCAATTGTCCTTGGTATCTCCCAAGGTCTGTAGCCACTTCATTCCCAGGATGACATCAGTGTTCCCCAACTCCAAGTGATGAAAATCCTCCCTCACCTGGATCCTCTGAATGGGCAGTACCACTCCTCTATACCTATCTCCACCTTTCCCATGCCCATCATCACCTCATAGCCGCCTATAGCCAGTAATTTCACCCCCAACAGGTCGACAATCTGATTGGAGATGAAATTGTGGGTTGCCCCACTATCTATCAGCATCACTACCTCTCTGTCAGCTATTTCTCTATTCACTTTTTTGGTATGATTCAGGGGTGCACAGAGTTTAGGGAGACTTCTGTAGCATCAAGATGCAACTTCTCTTCCTCCACCACTAGTCCGCTCTCACCTCCCTCTTCACTTTTCTCTTCATTATAGACGGTGAGAATCTGAAGAGTTCGGTCCTTACACCTATGTCCTAGCATGTACTTCTTATCACATTTGAAGCATAACCCCTTAGCCCTCTTCTACTGTGTCTCTTTCTTAGTAAGCTTCTTTAAATTTTCCCCCTCCAGCTTTCTCCCTTGGTGCTTCTCTCAAACTCCTTGGTGTAGGCCCCTTGGGAGCTAAGAAGATGGTGGTCATTCTATATGACCCCCTTGAGTTTCTCCCCCTAGCCCCCCTCTCCAGATAATTCTGGTCCTCCACCAATTGTGCTAGCTCCATGGCTTCCCCCAAGTCTCAGGGGATCATCACCCTAACCGTTGCTCGAATCTCTGGTTTAAGCCCCTTCATAAAATTTCATTCTAGTATTGTCTTTAAGAGTCGATCTAGCCTACTAGCAAGGTACTTGAACCTGTCACGGTACCCTGCTGCATCAAGGCGAAAAACTGCTCATAGAAGTTTCCTCCCAAACTTGTTTGAAAACGTTCTAGTAAATAATCCTTGACCTCCCTCCTGCTCCAAATGGGTTGCCTCATGTCCTGCCATTGGTACCATGCTAGTGCCTTCCCTTCTAAGCATAGTCCTGCAGATGTTAATTTCTCCTCCTTTGTTAATCTGTTAACTGCAAAGTATCGCTCCACCTTGTATATCAAGCCATATGCGTCCTCGCCCTCAAAGATAGGCATTTTAGCTTCCTGACCTTCGGGTCTTTGCTTCCCAGCCCTCCGGTCCCCCCCCCCCCCCCCCCTGAATCCTTCATAGCCTTCCAATTCTCGAAGAGGAGGTGCTCCCCAGTTGTCACATTCTTCCCTCCGACGATCATACCCAAACCCTTCATCAAAATCTCATATTATTCTTTCAAAATTAGCACCCCAACGATCGAAATCCTCTCCCATCACAAAATCAGCACCTAGTCTTTATCTCCTGCCTAGAAAGTGGTTCTAGATGAGGCATTCCGTCTTCACCCTCCAAGATCTCCACTTCTGGATTAACGTATTAGGGTTCCCACCTCTTCCATGGCCGCCGGTAGTTTCCTTTGCTTCCGATGTCGCCAGATTGGGTTTGATTTCTAGCAATTTCTTCAACATATCTTCCACCACTGCGAACTTTCCTTCCATCCTTTCATTAACGGATGTGATCTGATTTTAAAAATCAGAAATCTTTTCCTCAAAATATGATTTGAGTTGCCCAAGTTCTCCCTCCAAGACTTCAACATTCCTTTCAGCCATTGATATCCCTTAGATCGACGTGTTTTAATACCAATTTGATAGAAAACAACCCAAAATAATGGAAAACAAAGCAGAAATCTGCAGTAAACAGCAAATTTTCCCACAAAACTATAGGAAATCTGAGAGAGAACCTTTGAAATTCACTAATAGAAAAGAAAAACAGCGCAAGATACATGGATCTTCAATTTGAGAGGAAGAACCAACTCTCCAATTCTCTAGCCAAATACTAGAGCCCGAGCACCACACAAGAGATCCAAAATTAATATTCAAATCCAAGATAACCCTAACCCTAGCAAAACAAGACTAACTAAAGAAAAATGACAAAAGTTTAATCCCTAAACATCCCTTAATTTGAAATTTCCCTCCAATACAATGCTCAATTAAAGTGTGGGTCCCCTATGCTTAGCCGCCACCCTCTTCCCCTTAATTCCTAATCCCCCCCCCCACACACACACACACACCTGTAAACCAAAACCGGTCCACTAGGGACCGGTTCAACAGGTTTAGCCAGCCCCCCTTGGGCCGACCTAACAAAGACTTGCATGGGGTAGGATGCGGATGACAAACTGAGTCTGCCCCAATTCAGGAACCCACCAGTGGGAATGCCTGTGTGAAGGGAGAAGTGGCTTGCTTGTTAGATTGAGGCCGACATTAACTGCCCGAGAAGTAAGCCTTGATGAACCAGATCAAATGTATGAACATGGGCACGATGGGTTGGTTAAGGATGAATGACTCTCAAATACTGGCGAGTTGTTTTCGATTTTGTAGTTAAAGTGGTTATTTTAGCATACCTATCTCAATTAAGTTTGATAAAGTTACAACTTTTTTTTTTCTCTAGTGTAAACACAGCTAATATTTAGTGGATTGATTTAGTTTAGTTCTACTAATATCAAGGGCTAAGATTGCGTTTTGAAAAGTTAGAAGGCAAGCTATAAACTTAGAATTTTGCCACGGTACTATTGAGGAGACTGCTACGCAATGAAGTGCCTTAAAGCCCGTTGGATGTAAATCATAGAAAGTAACGAATATTCTAGCTAATATTTTTTTTTTCAAGGTTTGGGTATTTTGTTAAATGGATGAAGCAAGCTTCTCATCAGTTTTTATTGGTAAATTTACCTTTTTGAATCTAAATGATTTTGGTTGAGTTGGTTGAACCCCGCTTAGATTTTTTAATCGAGAAATGAATTTCACCATTTTGTCATGATACCCATTTGGACTTACTATTGATAATGAAACAGGTGCAAGAAAAACTTTCTGGTGAAGAATATAAAGACTTCGTCAGTTTTATGAGGGCATTGAAATCCAAGACTATGAAGATAACATCTGTTTTGGAGTCAATTGCAAAGTTATTTTCTGCCCCTGGGAGGCTTTTCCTTCTTGAAGGGTATGCTTAAATTCCTTCACTTGAAGCTGGCGTGGTAATATTAAATGATAATTATGAATTCCAAAATTATAAAACCCTATATCTTCTAAAAAAATTCCTCTTTTATAAATTATCACTTAAAATTGTTTTAGTTGCGATTATCATGTTAACTATGTAGCATAAAGAAGATGATTTACTTTGAATGACTTTTATAAATGTCTCCATTAGCAAGCTAAAATATATGACCTTATTGTTAATTTTGTATGAAGTCGACCCCACTTAGTGGGATAAAGGCTTGTTGTTGTTGTTGTTTTGTTAATTTTGTATGCAAATCCATTGCAATTAAAAATCCATCAATCCACAACAAATGATATTTTGTAAGAATCTCAATTGATTTTTGTTGAATTCAGATTTGTCTGACGGATGATGCTCGACTAAACTAGCAAATTTGTTTGGTGAGCTAAGAGTCTGTTGGTGAGAATGGAAAGTAGAGAGAGTAGATAGGAGATTAAGTTGGCAGAATCTCTACCATCCCTGTCAAAAATACAAAAAAGTGAGACTCAAGAGGCCCAAATGATCCAAAGAAAATGTCCCTAAATGTTCCTCATCACCCTATATTTATAAGGTTTTGAGGGAAACATGAAAGACTATGCAGAGAAAAGTAAAAATACAAGGTACATATAATACACGTACAATGTTTCATGTTAATCTAGGATGTGTTTCCCCCTAATTGTCTGTAAGAGAATGAAGTCAATGGTCTAGTGAGCTGTATGTTGTTGGGTGAGCTCAAGAGAGGCAATTCTCAAGAGGAGGAGATTTACTTGTAGTTGGTGAATTTTCTTATCAAGTCGAGGACTACCATAAGAGGCCCAAGGTTGTGGAAGGTGCGATGAGTTGCTTGCGGGGGTGAAGAGTCCTTGAGCCTGTTATTAATAGTTGAATGTAATGTGAAGTCCCTGAGGTAGGTTTTTTCCTATAACTGAGTTTGGTGAGCTAATAGGAGGTGGATTTAAATGAGATGAGTGGCAATTTATTGCTCAGCGAGGAACATCCTAGTAGCTCAGCATAGGGAGAGATCCTTGGCGGCTGTGCGCGAGTGATGCTCGTCATTATCCTTGTGCGAGTTCCAGGTGACTCCTTTGAGGGATTTTCTCCTGAGAGAGAATACCCTCGTCACAACCCTATTGTTACCTTTTAAAACACCTGAGAAGGCGATTATGAGTGTCATTTTAGTTTCCTGATTTACTTGGCCCTTTGACAGGCAAGTGGTGAAAAGGGCTAGTGAATGAAATTAAAGATGACTATCTAACGTAAGATAGAGAAATTAATAAAAATTTATTGCCCCATTTCTATTGTAATCTCGAGGACTGCGTTGACCTTGTAATGATGATGTCAACGTGGCATCATTCTGCATTGGGCTTCTTTATAAATTGTGGGCTTGCATTGGAGACAGATTTATTTTCTTTCTTATTGTGATAAGAGAAGTGGCAAGTGCTTTGAGAAATGGACTTCCTTGTAATAGCTCGCTTTCATTGCCAAACATCCAAGAAGACGACCTTCCATCAACGGTGAGTTGTCCCATCCTAGAAGAAGGCTGCTTATATTGTGACAGACTCACCGAGCAAAAGGTCAATAAAGAAGTGACCCAGCAACCGGTTGGATTTGTGCAAAGAAAGTGAGAACGAAAGTTGGGAGGCGATCATTATTGCGCCATCTTTCGCAATTGGCGGCTAGTTGTATGTTACTGGTGCCCCATCGTTCCTGTGGAGACGATAACTATTAGGGATGAAGACGAGGAGACCTAGCTATTTAGGAAGAGGAGGCTAGTCCTCCTTTGGGAACTGGTGTCAAAGGGAGTAGGATAGATTGCCCTAGCAGTGGTGAGTTTGCAGGAAGCTCTTCATGTAGAAGGTAAGACCAAAAAGAGCAAGTATGGTTATTTAAGGATTGTAATGCTATGAAAGAAGGTACTTGTTGTGAGGGATCCTATAATCTGTGTATCCTCGAGTGAGTTGTTGTAGTATCTGCTGAGTGAGCAGAAGATGAAGGTAGTGGGTGAACTTCAAGTATCGCAGGAGAAATATACCGCGAGATCAACTCTTATCTATTCCATTTATGATATTTAACTGCTCTATTATTCTATATTAGTCTTATACTTCTGTTAATTTTTGAGAAATCATTAATCCTTACAGATACTAACAATTATCTAATATTATATCTTTGCCTTCTCAAAAATCGATGAACTTTTCTTTAAGGGCATTGATGAAATGAAGAGCTTATTATGTTTGCATTGTAAATTTTGACGACAACAACAACAACAACAACAACATCAAGCCTTAATCCCACTATATGGGGTTAGTTACGTGAATCTTTTTTCTCCATTTGGTCATATTAAGAGTGACATTCTCATTTAAATTTAATAAAAAAAAGGTCATCTCTAATATTTTCTAACCAAGTCCTTTTTGGTCTACCTCTACCTCTACCTCTACCTCTCTTAATATAGGCCAAATCTAATACATCTACTATTTAATATTATCTTCTATTGGAGATACTCCAATCATTTCATGTATATGCTCGTTTAGCATTATCTCTAAGAGTAAAGTCACTCATCCACATGAACATCCTTATCTCTGCAACACTTAACTTAATATTATGCTTCTCTTTTAATGACCAACATTCTGCACCATAAAGCATTGCAGGTCTAACCACCATCTTATAGAATTTTTCCTTAAGTTTGAGGATAACTTTTCTATCATATAACAGGCCCGATGCATTCCTCCACTTCAACCATCCAACTTGAATTCTACTAATAATATACCTATCTATATTTTACCATCACTCTGGACAATAGACATAAGATATCTAAAATATGTACTCTTATTAATGAGTTGATTGTCCAAAGTCACAACCCTCCACTAGATCTATTACTAAAATTATACTCCATGTATTCTGTTTTAGATTTACTCAAACAAAAAACTTTAGACTCTAAGGTTGACCTCCATAATTTAAGTTTACCTTCAACTCCCTCTCTAGTCCTATCAACAAGAAAAATATCATCAGCAAAAAGCATACACTAGGGTGCATCCTCTTGCAAATGTGTAGTAAGAACATCCATGACTGAAGCAAAAAGATATAGGCTTAAAGTTGATCTTTGATGTAATCTAAATGAAATAGGAAAATACTTGATCAAATCATCTTGTGTTTGAACAAAAGTAACTACTCCTACATATATATCCTTGATGACTTGAGTATAAGCATTATTAACTCTTTTATTTTCTAAATCTCTCCATAGCACTTCTCTTGGAACTTTATCACGTGCTTTCTCTAAATTAATAAATATCATATGTTGATCCTCTTTATTCCTATTTACTTCTCCATCAAACCTCTCAATAAATGTATAGCTTCCATAGGAGACCTATCCGGCATGAATTCAAATTTGATTTTAAGAAACATTAGTATGACATTGTAACCTATGCTTAATAACTCTCTACAATAATTTTGAAGTATAACACATTTATTTAATTCTTCTATAACTCTCACACTCTTGTGCATCACCTGTTTTTTTAAAAATAGGAATCAACACACGCTTTCTTCACTTATCTAGTATTTTGTCTTCAAAATAATATTGAAAAGTGTTAGAAAACAAGAAGTTTGAGAAGAAAAAATGCTTGCTTTATTCCATGATTTTTTTCCTATTTATAGATCTATATAAGAAATCTTAATACAGAAATAAATAATTACATAATAACTCTAATAGAATTCTTCCTAAATCAGCTACCCGAACATGGAAAGAATTTTGGCGTAAGTCATGCGTCCCACTGATCATGCACTAGAGCCGTTGGATCTTTTCTACATTGAACGGCTGGATTTTAACAAAAAGTATCATAAGTCAAGAAATTTTTTCTCCTAAGCATTTCCACACCTCTATTTGCATTGTAAATTTTGACTTATATAGGATTATTTCAGTCTTCTTGAATAAGAGAGAGGAGGTTTATGTTAGAGAGAGGGGATAGCCGACCTATATTAGTGGACAAATTGAGGGAGCGATTGTTCCTAGAAATAATGAGGGAAATTTTCTGGGCTAATTGATCATGAATTCATTGATTATAAACTCTTTAGGACGTTGTTTATAAATAAATGCATGATAATATTTAAGCAAAACAAACGAAATCGTAATATAGATTTTTTATGTAGCTCTCACTAGTTTGTGCGTCTCTATATGTTCAAATTTTTTTTATTTATTCTCAAATTATTTAAACTTTATAATTTTTATTATTTATTTATATAATACTCTGACCTTTGTTTTCATTCTGTTCTACAGGTTCAAGCATTTTGTTCCAGAAAAATATCGACCGTTGTATGAGCAACATCTCAGGGCCCATGTCGCAGCAGGTGATAATTAATTCAAAAAAAAAAAAAAAAATTTTTTTTTACTTGCATTTCTTTTTGTTCCTTATCATTATCAATTTAATTTGTGTCGTCATTTCCATTATTCTGTAAGCTATCATCAAAACATTTTTTTAATATTTATATTTTATGAAGCATTTTTTGATAATGAATGGAATGTTCTTAAAGCCGCAGGAGATTCCAATGAGAAGGGAAGATTTGCAAGTTTATTTAAAAAATAATTTTATCATAATATTATGATATAATTTATATTAAGATGTTAAAATAAAATGTTCAGCTTTACGAGATACCACAGCACGTTATGTATTAAATAATTTATGTTATGATTATTCGATAAATTTTATGTTGGTTGTCAACTCCTTAATATAACTATATTCTTTATTTTTCTCATTTACGGCTTATGATTTGATAGTATTACAAATTGAATGTTCCAAATTAGAAGACGTTTAAGTAAAATAATAATAATAATAATAAATTAATTATCTTTATAGGGAATTTAAATATCTTTTAATTTTAAGTACTTATCTTATAATTTTAAAATTTTGGTCTTACTATCTTGGTACAAATTATATTCGGATATTCTGATGTATTTTAATTCCTTAAAATTATCTTATATATATATATATATATATTTGATATTTACTGTTTAGGCCCATTAAGATACACTAATAAACATATTATATATGCAAGATTCGAAATCAAAATTCAAAAATTATTGATGGTTGATAGTTATAGTTCTTAATTAATTTGAATTGGAGTGTACATGAGTTAAGAGTTGATCTTGAGTCACCTTTTGTTTGAGCTTAAAATTAAATTTTATTAATTAATTAAGGTCAAACTTGAGTTTTTTTCTTACGAGTTCGAGTTCAACTCATGGTTGGCTTGTTCATTTTGAAAGAAAGAAAATGATTATAATTTCAATGATTAATAATAATGAGATAAAAATAATGAAAAATTAGAAGAAAGATAATAATGAATTATTTAATATAATAAAGTAAGATATATTTTTTTAACATTTTAAATGATTTTATATTTAAATTTTTAAATATTAATATATTTTAAGTGTATTTTATATTAATATTTTTTAAACAGGTCATCTCATGAGCTAACAAGTCAAATTAGGATTAGCTCAAATTTAACTCAATCGCTCATTAAACTCAGCTAACGAGCCATTTATCTGTAAGACTCACACCTCTAATCTGTTCATTAATCTCTTCCCTTAGGCTTATAAAAAAGCAGTTCAAAAAAGGAAAAGCCATTAATATATAGGATGGACTAATGGAGTAACAACAGTAAAACCAATAACTGAAACAATATAAGGAATAAAGCAAAGAATTGACCGGGCGATCATAGCACAATAAAGTCTTTCATCCTCTTTTTTTTTTTTTAAAGATTATTGAGCCAATTAAGGCAAATATATACATATCACTTACACAAATTTCAAATTAAAAGTCTGATTGATAGTCAAAGCTTTTAACTAACAAATCAAGATGATCTACGTAAGCCTTCCATCCTTATTTCTACATAATTACAAAGCTAAAAACAGTACTGCAAACATTTATAGTCATTCTTGATTTGTGGCCCTCCATCCAAAAATTATCAAAGCTCAAAAGATAAATCTGCAAATAAAAAAAAAAAATTTGGCCAATGTAGAAACTTAAAATAATCAAAATTCTGAGTTGAGAATGATGGAAACTTAATCTTAACATCATAAGTATTTTTCAATATAGTTCAGGTTGTTCCATTAGATCCCATTGATGTTGCAGCAAGCCTTTTGAGTTTCTATATAGTTCTTCCAACATGATACATTGGTAGATAGGCTTTGTATAGATAGTATTTTTCAAATTTTTAGTTATTTCTTTTTCTCCAAATAAATCAAATTACATAGCAAAATAGAGAGATAATTTTTTTTTTAAATTTTTTTTTTCATACTTGATCGAAGAAGTGAGTGCATCAATGGGCTCAAACATCTGATGAAGATTTGCGCTTAAAAATTTTTAAAGACATCCATTGCTAGCATAAGGTTTTTACAAAAGGTGAAGCGTGATGTTCAGTTTTCCACAAACATTGAAATCTATCAATGTGAATAACTATACGGAATATGGAGGAGTCTTGTCGGTTGATTCAGGTAATGCTCTTACTATTCTTAACAAATTTGATGCTCTTAATCAAGTGGTGGAGGAAGGGGAAATATTAAGTCCAGAAAATGATGTTGGATTGATTATTGCTGAAGTTTCTTTAACCAGTAATTAATTCAATGAAGAAAGATCATGTTTTTTCGGAGGTGGAGCTGGAAAACACAGAAGGCGGTTCTTCTAATGTCAAGAAAAAAGGTTCTAAACAACTCAAGGGTTTGGGATCTATTAATATGAAAACTAAAAGTAGAAGGGGAAATGCTGGTCAAAAGGATAAGTTGGGGACATTGTCCCCTTTTGTTCAATAATGTCTTCAATTATCTTTTGGAATTGTAGATGAGCTAGAAAGAAAAAAGCTTCTCTATATTTCAAAGATATATTGAAAGATCATGGAGTATTTTTGTGGGTTTGATTGAAACCAAATTATATTCTATTGATAGAAGGGAGATAAATTCTATGATTGGTTCAGATTGGAAGTATTTTCTAGTTCCTTCAGTAGGCTTGTTGGGAGGAATTTTGGTGCTTTGGAAAGAACTTTGCTTCTTTCAATGTATTGGATTTTTCTTCTCAATTGGTTATTGGTGAACTTGAGGTTCCCAATAAAGGAAGATAGAGACTAGCTACTATCTATGGTAACAAAGATGTGTACACATTGGCTCGTTTGAACACATGGTGGAGGCAACGTGCAAAACTCAAATGGCTTGAAGATGGAGATAGGAACTCTAGATTCTTTCAAGCTTTTGCTAGTGCTAGAAAGAACTCTAATTTTATTAACAATGTCAAAAAAGATGAAGGTGTTATTGTGGAGGATCAACATCAAATTGAAAATGTTTTGTTCAGCTTTTTCAAAGATAAATGGAGGGTTAGAAGATGCACTTTAACTGGTTGGCCGAATACAAATAACTTATTGGATGAAGATGATTCTTCTATGTTAAGCAAGGAGTTTTCCATAGAGGAGGTGGAATCCGTGATCAAGGGGGCAGGAGGAAACATATCTCCGGGATATGATGATATTACTTACACATTCATCAAAGCCTATTGGTCCATAATTAAGGAAGATTTCTGGAATGCAATCAATCATTTTCTTTGCTCAGGGGAGATGTGTGAGTGGAAAGAGACAATTATTGTTTTTATTCCTAAGGTGAGTAATCATTTATCTTCTTCCAATTTCAGACCTATTAGCTTGTGCAACTTGGTCTATAAAGTGGCGGCTAAAGTCCTTTTGAATAGTTTGTCTCCTATTATTCATAAAGCTTTTAACTAACAAATCACTTACACAAACTTCAAATTTAAAGCCTTATTGATAGCCAAAGCTTTTAACTAACAAATCAAGATGATCTACGTAAGCCTTCCATCCTTATTTCTACATAATTACAAAGCTAAAAACAGTACTGCAAACATTTATAGTCATTCCTGATTTGTGGCCCTCCATCCAAAAATTATCAAAGCTCAAAAGATAAATCTGCAAATAAAAAAATTTTTGGCCAATGTAGAAACTTAAAATAATCAAAATTCTGAGTTGAGAATGATGGAAACTTAATCGTAACATCATAAGTATTTTTCAATATAGTTCAGGTTGTTCCATTAGATCCCATTGATGTTGCAGCAAGCCTTTTGAGTTTCTATATAGTTCTTCCAACATGATACATTGGTAGATAGGCTTTGTATAGATAGTATTTTTCAAATTTTTAGTTGTTTCTTTTTCTCCAAATAAATCAAATCACATAGCAAAATAGAGAAATGATTTATTTTATTTTATTTCATTCATACTTGATTGAAGAAGTGAGTGCATCAATGGGCTCAAACATCTGATGAAGATTTGTGCTTAAAAAAATTTAAAGATATCCATTGCTAGCATAAGGTTTTTCCAAAAGATGAAGCATGATGTTCAGCTTTCCACAAACATTTATATTTATGATTTCATCATATTCAAACGATGATTATAATTATGACTCTATCTACATGAACGCGCTGCAGGGTGTATTCTCTAGAAGAATAGACAACCTGCCGATCTCAGATAGCGTACTCGTAGTCACGTGTATTACCTTGCAACACTTCAAAGAAATCAATCCGCCTGAGGTGAATAAGGTTGAAGAACTCACAATCTGTTATTTGCCTCCTCTTAAAAAGGGGACTGTGCTAGGGAACATACTATATTCTATTGGAAAGCGCAAAGAAGAGAATAATAACTGGTATTGTATGCTCCTTGATTCTAAAGAGTTACTACCTATGAGGCTACCTAGGTTTAATATCAAAGGTATTCAAAGAATGCTATGAAAGCAAATCAATATTTCTACCACCAAATGACAACTTCGTACATGTTTGGGCCTCTGGTATGGAAGGAATCCGTGTGCATTACAATAAAAGAATATAGCTGTGTATAAAGATATCAGATTCATCAAGCGAAAATACCTTCGGAAGGAGACTTGCCGAGCAATCACATGCGGGGGGTTCATATCCGAGAATAATAGTGACTATGAGATGTATGAAGTTGACACATATGATGATCAACCTATAGAAGTCAAGCCTGCACCTAAATAATTAGGAGATGGTGGACAGGTAGCCATTATGGACGAGCTAAAAAAAGTCAACTTGGGAACTGAGGAGGTGCCTCACCCAACATTTATTAGTTGTCTCTTACCCAATGAACAAATCGAAGAAATAAAATAACTTTTCTATGAATTCAAGGATTTCTTTGCCTGGATATATACTGAGATATCTGGTTTATTCTCTAATGTAGTAGTTTACAGATTGGCCATCAAACCAGATGCATCACCCATTAAACAAGCTCCAAGCATAATGTTATTGGAGATTGAAGAACATGTGATTGCATAAACAAAGAAGCTCATAGAGGTGGGCTTCATTCATGAAGAAAAATATGATGACTGGATCGCTAATATTATCCCTGTTAAAAAGAAGAATGGTCAAATTCGTATATGTATTAACTTTCAGGACCTTAATAAGGCATGTCCAAATGATGACTTCCTGCTCCTAGTGTCAGAACTATTGGTCGATAACACTTCCAATTATAACATATTCTCATTTATGGACGAATCATTGTGCTACAACTAAATCAAGATGTCACCTAAAGATGAGAAAGAGGCGTTATTCAGAATGCTCATCGATATTTTATACTATACGGTCATATCTTTGGCCTGAAGAACGCTGGAGCCACCTATTAATCGGTAATGATGCGTATATTTGATGAGCTGATTCATCAAAAGGTTAAGTGCTACATAGATGATCTCACATTCAAAAGCATGAACCGAAATAATGATTTAAATGACCTAAGGATCATATTTGAGAGGATTAGAAAGTTTGATTTGAAGATGAACCCTCTCAAAATGTCTTCGGGGTCTCCTCTAGTAAATTCTTTGGATACATTGTTTGACGTTGAGGCATAGAAACTGACCCCGATAAGATCATGGTGATTATGGAGATGCCACCACCAAGCAACCTCTGTCAACTTCGCTC